GTGGCTAGAGGCTTCTTTACCCGACGTGGATCTTCTTCACCAGCAACCGGAAGAACCCCGATCCCCTCACAGGGCCCCGTTATATCGGCCTGGGCTGGCTCCGCCCTTCGCCCTGCCCAACTTTTAGATCTATAGAGCTCTTTCCCGAAGGCTCCCAAGAGCTCTTTTATACCACGTGACCGCCCAGCAGCTCCCGTCTACCGGTGGCCCCCCTCCAATATCAGCCGGTCACGTGTCGGCAGGTCAACCAGCGTATCATGCCCCAAAGTAACCCTGGCTGGCTGACGCTCCCTCTCGCTCCCTCACCGGGAGCCCGCACCACACTGTACGTGGTGCCTCTGTGCTGACCAGCGCTCACCAAAGCCCCACTAGGGCTGGTACTACGCCTAGTAAGCAAGCTATACATAATGCCAACACATCCGCCGTGGATTCGTAAGCCCGGCACCACACAGTGACATTCACAGTCACTACACCTACAAAGGGCAGCGTACTTCAATAGGGATTACCGTTGGTAGGGCTATTTTAATCAACACAATAGACAGGAAGGACAAGTTCAAAGGGCTCGCATAATGCAGTAATCCCCCCCCCCCCCCGCATCATTGTGCAAGACTCCAGAAGGGTGGTCAACACATCTGCGCCTCTATATAAGGAACGAAACAGTGAGACAACTCTTACTAGTTGGTTGTGTCGGGTGGTGCCGAGTTTTAACGACACATTTACATATTTACGCGATCTAACCCAAAAAACCTCATGCACACAAAAGGTATGACTATCGATCAAATTAGCTTTGATAAAGAAACGCCCTCGCAACCCGAGAGAATGGTCGGGGAAATACAGATGCAGCAGAAAGCAAGGGGGAGACAGAATCCTAAAATAAAGTCGCCAGGATATGCTATACAGGTGGCACCACGAAGGGCAGAACCTGGGCAACACGACGCCCACAGCAGGGACAGCTCACCAGAGAGACACACACTACGTAAACATGATCAACACGGCACAGATAGGGCCAACTCACCAGAGAGACACACGCTATGCAGGCATGACCAATATGACACATACAACAGGGAAAGCTCGGCAGGGAGACGCACGCCACGTAAACATGACCAATACAACACAGACAACAGGGATAGATCACCAGGGAGACATGACAAATACAACCGCTCAGCAGGGAGACACATATCACATAAACATGATCAACACGATACAGCGAGCAGGGACAGCTCACAGGAAAGACGCACGCTTTGCAAAAAACACAACACAAAACACCCCATACCTCATCGGACAGACACGGAGATCATGACGGACACGAGGCACCTGACAAATTTAAGTCAAGCATCAAGCAAAAACCTCGGGACACAAGCGCCTCACCCAGCAGACACGATACATATAGTGAGCGTGAAGGCCATGCCACGAGACACTCACCACAGAAGCACAGGCCAAGGAGACAATGCACACTACCCCAAAAACAAGGGTCACATGACAAACCTAGAATGCATAAGGGACACAAGTCACGAGAAAGACACAAATCACTGGGCAGAATTGGACCATGGTGCAAACAGGGAAAACATGACAAAAGTGATAGTAGAGAACAATACATCTCAAGTGAGCACTCCTCGGACACTAACTCCTCTGGCGACGACCAACTTTCAGAATACCCCTTCAGTAGTAAAACTCTTAAATTGATGGACAAAGCTCTCGTTAGAATTCCCTATTTTTATCCACACAATGAGAACTAGACATACACACCCATATCGCAACAGTAGAAGAGAAGGCAATGATCAGAGGTCTGAGGAAGTTAGACGAGAAAGCAAGTCTACTGAAAATAAATTTACATGATCATGCTACACCATGGGTAAAGTCGCTACCATACAAGGTTAGGAATTATTTCAAACGCCCGAGCCTGGCAGTGATTAGGAAGTTTGGGGAATATTCAATTATGTCTGAGGGGCTTAATGCTGTTAAAATGATTACTCATGCATAGACGAGGGTCCATGAGATTACCTCCTACAGTTTAAAAAGCGTAGTATGCAGGTGATGTTAATAAATACCATGAGGGTGACAACACGTTCAGAATTGTGTTTTTTTAATCCTTGAGTCCAGATATTACAGAAATTGTGGTAATGGTGTTGGACCCAGAGACAGCTTCCTTATGCCACATGGAGAATAAGGCTCACATGGCATGGTTATATAGAAGTAGGAGCCATAACCCGGGCAAAACACACAGGGTCACCAGAGATAATGAACTCCGCCATCTAGAGGGAAGTAAAAATCCAGTGAGCAGCTACAGCACCCCACAGGTGAGGCATAATATACACCAGGCACCACAATACAGACAGGAGCAAGCACCCACGAACTACCAACAGAATTACACACTCAGCTGCAAAGGTAACAATCTAGCAAGAGGGTGGCACACAAATCCATGGGGACCACAGGGCACAAAAACAGGTAATTATGGGAATCGCAGGATGTGGAGAACAGGCAGGGAATTATACCAGGACCCCATGCCACAACGCACTCAAGGCCAAACACAATCTGGCCATTCCCCCTTAATACCCCCACCGACTATACTAGGAGGGAACATAGAAACAGGAAATAAGGAAACTAAAATTGGCTCATCTGAGATCCAAAATGTGGCACATACTCGTGGTGAATCACCCACATTAATTGAGAATGAGCTGCCAGTGAAAGCACTTCCCACTGAATTACTGACTGATATGGAGAATGGGGACATTGACATACGACTCTTGTTTCAAAATGACAGCCCCCTTGGAGAATATCTGCAGGCTGCTTGTGGCAAGGCAAACCAAAATAATAGTAATAATTGGAAAACTTTAAATGCATCAGGTATCAATTCAGACAATGTGGTGGAGAACGAAAGTGTCACTCAGGTAATTGACACACATATCGAACGTAAAAACATAACTACATTTATGTGTGATCCCACAGTAGATGGGGACATACAGCAGGGAGGAAAAGCTGATCGCCAGAGGGATGCAAAACACAAAAACACACCTCACACAACACACATACAACATGATGAGCGTGAGTTGAAAGAAAAACACCCCACCTGACACACACAGCACCGTGAGTGTGGAAGCTGCGCATCGAGCAGGCTATTTGAAAAAGTGGCCCATTGTCTCGTGGATTTGCATGATTGTACTATGGATGGGGCAGAGAAATGTGTTACAGGGGCATGCCCTGAAGAAAGCAGGCATCGGCCTTTGGATAAAAAAAAATGTGCACTGACACGTTGATGATGGATGTTGAACGGCGTGCTAAAATGGAGGAGTGGAAGATTTATGACGGATCGGTAATTGTGTTGAAATCCAGCCCAATCAAAAGCACAAAAGGGGGGACCCAATGGGGCCCGAATTCAAATCTATTAGCTGAGTCAACAAATGTGCATATTTCTCCGGGTATGGCAATGGACAGTCGAGTACGGAAAATCGTGGTGTGCACCGATTCTGGTTATGTGCGACACAACTTCAAGCCACATAGTGCCACGTGGAAATAGGGTGGCATAAGAGAATACAAAAACGAACCAGTAAACCATTGGCAATTGATCAAAGCCATAAAGAAGATCATCTAAGAAAAGGATGTGATGATGTTGTGGGAACAGGTAATAGGTTACTCCAAAGTGCCTGGCCATGGGAATGTTGGTCATGATCAGGAAAATTCCCTAAACAAACAGGGAAGTCTGAAAGACATTGCATGGAAATTGGCATGTAAAATGTAACCCACAAAGGAGGGAAAGAGGGATCTCAAGCATGTGTAGTGTTGTAGGCCTCTTCTTCCTTCTCAAAGCTTGTGTGTGTGTGTGTGGGTGGCGAGCGTCGCACACACATTCAGTCGGAGACGAGGTAGTCGTAAGAGGCACCGTCTTTATTATGTTCACGCCACCAACTCCGGCCCCCTCTCTCACAATCACTCTGCCATACATCCCGGTCGAGACACGACCCCGTCCACGTTGGACCGACGGCATCGACTGAGACAAACCAACTACTGTCCGGCCGTGCAATGATCGGGCGAAGGCGGCAGCGACGAAGGCGGCGACGACGACAGTGACAACGAGATGAGTCCACTCCCAGAACTGGTAGCCCGGAGCTCTCGCTCTCCACTGCTTATATTCCCCTCGGCGCGGTTTGACTCTGCCCTAGCCGTGCCTCCCTTCTTGAACCCACCAGAGGGTTTCAGGGGCTTCCCCACGAGGTCTACGGTGCCCCTTGCCCCAGTTCCTCTGCCCTGCCGGCACACCCGTGTATATGCTCAACAACGTGTGCGCTAAGTGTCTTCCTGCAGTTGCAGCTGCTGAACAGCAGTCAGCACTGTGTCACTACATCACCCCCCCCCCCCAATCAATGCTATAGCCGCAACCGGTATGCAGGCAGGGCAACTCGGCAGGGCAACTCCCTTACCTTGCGGAACACCCATAACATCAACGAGAAAAAA